TGTCTTGAATCAGTGTGAGCTTTAACCCATCCCCACCCATCCCCATCTCCATTACAAGTCAGAGTGAAAAAGAGAAAATTTACTGCTCTGTGTGTGTGTGTGTGTGTGTGTGTGTGTGTGTGGTCAGCTATTAAAATATGTTTTTATTAATTTATGAAAGAAATGCATAAAAGAAACTAAATTATTAGTGACTTTCTCCTCAAAGCTTCCTAAAAAAAAAACCTTTAAAATAAGTAATTCTAGGGATTTAAGAGGATTAAGAGACTACTGTATTGAAAGTACCCCTGTAACATAATACTGAATATAACCCTTACTACAGTTTTTACTGAAAACTATACACAGCCATGTGAAGGATTAATGGTCTCAGATATGCAGCATAAAGAAGAGTTTTGAGTGGAGCTCCTTACCTATCTTCACACATTTGGAGAGCTATTCTCTGAAAGAAACACTCACCTTGGAAGTTATAGGGAAGCACATTTTACCTCAGTCTTAGGAAGAACTCTCTGTCAACTGGAACTTTCCAACCATGGAATGGGCTGCTTCAGAAATTTACCCACTGCCTGTCACCATAGGCATTTATGAAGAGGTGGATGGATTTCAGGGAAGCCGAGGTGAAAGACCCAAATAATGAAGGGGAAAATGCAATAAACAACTATCCCAATTCTGAGATTTTTAAAAAATTTTACATGGAATAAATGCTACGTAAGCTACTTAACAAAGGAAGCCATCTATTTTAATAGATTTTAATGTATTTTAGAGTCTATTATCTATAAAAGATGTCAAAAGAGGAAAAATACCTTAAGTAAAAGAAAAACTTATTTAATCTGTTTGAAGAACATGTATTTGGAAATAAGAACTGTAAGTCAATGGACTCTATAAAGAGATTTAATATTTTGAAAAACATCATAGAAGCACCAACAAATTCCCAAAAAGTTTATAAGTGAACTTAAAGGGGGAAAAAAAACAGAAAAAAATCTTTTTTTTTGACAAAAATGATAAATTGCTATAATGTTCAAAACACAATGATTTTATGTTAAAAATAAGGAAACACAACAAAACTATAACTGAAGCCAATCATAAAGCAAGCAGGATGTTACTATTAAGATTATAAAACATTGAGGCAAATGAAGGTATCTACAAAGGCTTCCCATTGAGTTGGTTCCTGGTGTTTCCCTTGAATGTTTGAACATCATCCTTCTGCACTGTGTGCATTATGTTCATATACTAGAGCCGTGTATGTTCAATTAGTGTTCAGATCCCTATGAATTTCAATGTTATAATAATAAACTCTGAAAAATTATATTGGAGCATCTTTTATTGAGTGGTGTTTGCAGAAAACACAGGAGGCTTTTGAGTTCTTTGTATTACCTGGTCACTGTGTCATTTTATTTCCATTTTTATAGGTTTTCATGGGTCAGCCCCTGTTATATCTTAGGGGTTATTATAAAGAAACAGTGTGCATAAGATATACAATGCTATATTGAAGGTGTCATGATTTTTTGTTAAGAGAGGGAACATGGTCTCCAAAAGGAAGAAATGTAGAATATTTATACTGTGATTTACTGTTAGCATTGAGAATGAGCTCAGATCTTATGATTCTTCAATTTAGCATCATTTACACAGGAAATCAAAAGGGGAAGATGATCAGTAGTGGGAAGTGGTCTTATACAATATGGGAGAGAAGTAGAGGTTCAAAGGCAGGTTTTGGAATATAGAAATTCAATGTGCCCAGTTTGCTATATTTTTAGGGTACTAAGCTAATATGATCATGTCAGAGTTTTCAGACTGCTAGAATTTGTTTCCCAGATTTATAAACATCCACATGCATAAAATTTGTAAAGAAGCATTTTGGGTTTTTGATATACTAATTAACACCTGGGGGTTGGGCTTTGTCCTCCTTGCTTTTTCCTTGGTAGATTCCTCTCTAAAGCCGGGGAAAGGCATCCTTCCATGTGAAAATACAATTTCTTGAAAGTGGGGAGGGGTGTCCTGAAAACCCTACTTTAGATGTTTCAATAGCCAACAATTCTGGCACAAACTACCCCAATGATGGAAGAAAAACCTCCTCTCATGCACTGTCATCCTTCTTTGATATTCTTTTGTGGTGTCTTATACAGATCAGTTCCTTGGAGGTTTTGTGCTTCTCTCCTCTAATTGGCATTAGAGAGGGCTGTGAATCCTCCTACTTCTTCATAATTCCTAACTATTCCCTTTGACCAAAGTTGTTCAGTTAAAATTAAAGGGGGCAGGAGAATCAAAGACTGTGTGTTTTCAGAATGATGCTGTCATTTCTGTGGGGTCCTTAACATTTTGGGACAGCGCAGGGCGGAGGGTAGCCAATTATAGTGTTTCAGCAGACTTCTCACACCCTCAACAGAAACACTTAAGGGCATTTAATAGCTTAGAAAGGCTGGAGCCTTGCAGCCTCACTAGAGGCAAGGTCGTGGGATGGATGTGATGAGCACCACTCTGCCTGCAATGGAGCGTGAGGAAACCCATGCCGCCCTTGGAGTCTCCTGCCTTCCTCGTTACCCCATTTATTAAACTCATGAGAACTCACAGGAAGCATTCAGGTTTAATTTGTCTTGCTTGAGTTCATTACCTAGTACTATACGTATGCACACTTGTGCATACTTAATGAAAATTGTCAGTGGGTTTCCAGCTCAAAATCAGCACATGCTGCCTAGAAGATGAATCACAGTATAGGGATTTAGTACATGCCCAGCGCTGTTCTAAGTGCTTCACCAATATTAGCTCATTTAGTCCTCACCATAGTCCTAGGTGTGTGGGTTTATTTTTGTCTCCACTTGACAGATAAGGGCTCCAAGGCACAGAGGAAGTGGGTCAATTGTCCAAGGTCAGGGTCAGAGTTGGGATTTGCACTATGCAGCCTGATGCCAGAATCCAAGCTATTAACTACTACATCAACGTCATACCAAGTAATAATCTGAAAGAAAGGCTGAGCATTTCTCCTCTAAAGTCTTTTAGCTTAACTCTTACACAAGATTAAATTACACACACACAAACACAGAAAGCTTAAGGCAGTGATTTTACTGCTGTGGTCCCCTTAATTATCAAAGAAATAAAAGAAAAGTGAAAGTTTGTCTTTACAGCCTAGTAGACTGGTTTCAATCCACACTCTGGTTTTATTAGTGTGTTAGACTTGCTGCCAATTTCTCTGGACCTCACTTGCTTAATCTGTGAAATAGGGATATGATTGTTGTTGATTACGAACTTTAGTGATACATTTCAAGTGCTTAGCACAATGCCTGACACGTACATGTTAGCAGTTATTATTTGAAAACTGCCGTCAGTCCTTCGTGGAAATAGAATAGTGGCAGACAATGAATTGACTGGGTGTGAGGTTGATTAAAGTGATATTGTTTAATAGAAAAGAATCAGACACGTGAGTTTTATTATACGAGGCAAGTCAGTGGTCTGTGTTCTACCCATGGCCTGGCTTTTCTGCAATATTCTTAGACATGTGTGTGACACAGGATCGTTGTGAGGGACAGGTGTTGCAGCACAGTGTGTCAGGTATTTATTTGGCTTCAGGGAGGGTCCACGTTGCCCCACTTTCTGAATCACAGCGGTGTATCACATCTGCTTTCGCTGCTCCTGGTTCTGCTTCAAAACGCATAATAGCCATGGAGCTGGGGTTTACCAATCTCTTGGAGTTAATTAGAAATGGCAAATCAGTGTAGTGATAAGGGAGGGTCATAAAGAGGAAAAAATAAGTAAGCTGGCAATGCTCTAACGACGTGGGATTCTCCTGGGTAGGAGTCATCCCGTCAAACTGCTGCCACTGAGATCCAATGTCTGGGATGGGGAGGGGGGCACGTGGGAGTCCCAGTGGGGGTTGTGACAGGAATTTCCTTCTCCTCCTAACTTCCCTTCTCTAAGTGAAATTATCCAATTTCCACCTTCAAATTGAAAAGTTCTTTATTCTCTCTCACCGCAGGAGTCCTAAAGACTATACTCTCCCACGCAGCAACTCTTTCTCAAAGCTTCCTTAGAGAATGATGGGGTGGGAACCTCCGCTTGAGGAAACTCCATCTTTTACAGGCAGCATCCCACGTGGCACCTTAAGGGTTAAACTTTTGTTGCAGAGAAAGGGTATCAAGTGGCTTTCCAGGAGGGGATAACCTCCAATTTAGAAACTGCCTGTTTCTAAAAAGGTAAGCCAAATATACATTAGTTGCCACGGCTTTCTATGAAAGGAACAACTCAGCATGTGTGAGTTCTTTTGGTGCCTGTCACCTCTATAACGTATGTATCAGGGTGAGGACGGTCAATCACAGTGAATAAAAGCCCCAGAACACGACAGAGATCCCTTTTACTATAGGTCCATTTTATGATAGCTCTCAATTTGCGATGCCACAGAAATCGGAAGGGAGGCATTTATCTTATCATTCACGGGCACCCCTTCTCCCTCTGTGTCCTAGCCCCTCCCCCCGTGCCAGTTTCCAGTCCCTCAAAGATGCTTTGTGCAAGAAAGTGCAAGTTGCCCGTTCTGGCTTTATTTTTGTTCCCTTTTGCTCTCGTCCTGGCTCCCCCCCAAAACCAAGCCAGCAAAGCAAATGGCCCGGGTTCCCCCCCAACGCCTGACCTGCGTTTACTGGGAGGAGAGCGGGAGAGGGAGCGCGCATTCCGGAGCAGGCTGCTCTGACTCCGACCACAGGCTGTTTTGTGCAGGCTGTCCCTCTCCTTCAAAACCGTGCATCCCCTCCCCGAAGCAGCAGGCAGTGTGCCTCCATTCAGCCACATTTGGTATGCATGAGCACGGCTGCAGGGAGAGGGGAGGTGGCTTTCTTAAGAAGGTTCAGGGGCTCAGGCACCGCCGCTTGACTAGTCTCCCAAGTTCCAGGAAGCCTCTGCCCTAATGGAATTTGCAGGTGTGGAGATGACCATGGGATGCCAGAGCCGTGGGGGACCGTTTGTTTTCTAGGCGTTGTTGCTCAGGTTTGCAGTTTCTTGTTTTCCCGGTGGAATTTGGAAGGGGTCATGAATCAAACTGATGCTCCTCGACCCCTAAACTGGACCATCCGGAAGCTGTGCCACGCAGCCTTTCTTCCATCTGTCAGACTTCTTAAGGTACTGTAACTTGCCGCTTTGAATGGCTCTAATTATGCTTTTCAGGTCTGAATACCCAACTTGGGCACTTGGGCTGGGACACACCTTTGGGGGAGCACAAATGTGTGCGGTGCTGGCTCTGTGGCTAGTGGCTGAAGAGAGGTTCTCCGCGCTCCTCACCTCCCCCACACCCCACCCCTACCCTGTGGTGTCAGGGAGGAGAGGCTGGTATGAGCCACACTTGAGAAGGAGGTTTCGGTCTCAGAGAATGGTCTCAGAGCCTAAGTGCCACCCCCACCCCTCTTAACCATCCCTAAAACAGAATTAATTAACTTCTTTGGGAGGGTGGGAACAGGAGTGGGAGTGAAATCTCTTACTCCCCTGTGTTTCCTTTCCGGTTTTTCTTTTCCCTCCCTGGGGAAGCCCTTCGACCCACTTTCCCTTTAAATGGAACCTGAGAGAACAAAGGACTCTCCTCATTATTTTAAAAGCACTGTGTAGTTAGGTGGTCAGTCAGGTAAAGACAAAGAATGAACCCCATCTGATAGTGACTTTTCTTGGTGTCCTTGTTTTTATAAAAAGGCATGATAATTTTAGTCTCCCGAGTGAAGTCAGTAGTGGGAAAGTATTGTTAAACATACATTGAACGTAAGCTCTCTCTCTCTAGCAGTGAGTCACACAAAAGAACGGTACTACACCTGAGCTGGAATTGCCACCTCGTGTCTGTGCTGCTCTTCTTTCTAGAAGCAAATACATTAAAGATACTGAAAAAGTCCACACAACTTCATAGTAATCTGCCTTCATCATCTGCCTTGTAGGGAAGGAAATACAAATAAAATTTAAAGGTTCTGGGGGTGAAAAGTATTTTTGCCTAGAAAAGAGAATGTGCTCACACTTATTTAGGAACAGTGAATATCTGTGGTTGTTCTGTAGCCATTTGAAGTTAAAAAGGCAAGGCAAAGTTCTTAATTCTCTTTTCCATATTATATATGATCTTTTGATTTAATTACCACTGGGCGCTGAGTCCAGTGGGCTACAATGGAGGATTAATGGATTATCCCCAGATAAATTATGCTTGTAGAAATTTGTCTGAGGCTGGGTTCTGGTCAGGTCAAGTTTGATGTGGACAGTTGGTTCCATACTGCTAAGTGGCTCCTTGCAACAGTGTTCCTCATCCTCTGCATTTTCCTTATCCTGTTAAACACAAAATGGTTTTAACTTTCACAAAGGCTGCCCCCAAGTGCTGTTCAAACCCCCATCATATGGTTGTCATGGTGACAGCTTGCTTTCCCTTAAGGAATATTGAGAAGGAAGGTCAGGTTTGGGCAGGAAGAGCCAAAGGAAGAGAAGCTTCTTTGGATATGTATGTTTTTGCTGTATTGGAACAACATGTGTGATAGGGCAAGAAAAAGAATGCGGCCACAGAATTAGCAAATGAATATAGATTTTCCTCCATAATCACTGCTGAATCAAGGGTCTGAGGCAAAGAATGTTTTGGCAAATCTAAGTCTGACTGAGAATATCGACTCCAGTAATTCCATGTGCTATCAGAAATATATTTTTCAGTTAAAGTCATTCATCAGCTTTACCCCAAAATAATGCTTTTTAATTCTGATTAACAGATATGTGACTATCACTGTCAATTTTATTGACTAATATCCTAGTTTTTTTTTTATGGAAAATGTTACTTTTTACTAGTCATAAAACCAGCAGAGAAGTATCTATCTCTCTGGGGTGGATTACTTATTTTTAGAAGAGTAAAATAAAAGTCATCTCTTTTTTAACCAAAAATACTGTCCATATCAGATACCAGGAGATAATTGTCAATACTACACTAATACTTTCATTGGCACACAGCTCAATCCTATCATCCTTTATTCACGTGATGCTTTATAACAATTCATGTAATAAAGTATATTAGTGAATATCCTTCCAATTCCTTTAATATCTGAAAGACAGGCTTTTACTAGAGAACTTTTTTCCAAATGATATCTGTATTTTTGAAAGATCATAGCTACCCTATTAGACTTCAGATGCTGAGTACATTTCAAACTCTTGAAAAAAATTAAGTGTTAGCAAATTCTTTCAGCAATACTTAGAAATAAATGAAAGCTGCTTTTATAAGCAATTGTATTATGCACTCTCTGAATATGAATGCTGTGTTTTTTGTTTTTTTTTTTTACCTGTGGATTGTGGCTTTCCTCTCTTTGCTTTGCTAGTTCCTATGTATTCTTGCCCTGCTTTTATCTTTCCAGTAAAATGGAAGTTCGTGAATAATAATCTGTATCTTTTAGTAAATGTTCTTCCTGAGTTGGTCTATAAATATTGAATAACAGTAATTCTCACGTCCCTTCCTTATTCTCTGCTCAGTGCCTTCCTCTCTCTCCCTCTCTTATGGCACCTCCCCCGCACCCCCACCACCATGTTAATTTGGTGGATGGATTCTCTGGGTATCCAGTAGTCTATTGGAATCTTGAGCTAACAAACCCAATTCTCCTATTCAACAGGTAATTTGTGTTCCTCTTCCAAGTATTGCTCAGATGTGACATGCCCTCTCTCAGTGGTCTCAATTGTCAGCAAATACTGTGTAGGGCATGATTGAGCTCAACTCAGATCACTCACCATTTCTGACAGACTGAGCTCAAGCCAATTTCCCTTCCTATCCCTTTCCTTGAAAATGTGTGTTTCTTTGCTAACTTACTTTGGTACCATGTTAATCCTTAGAAATGGCTTCATAATCCTGTTTCTTGCATTTCCCATTTCCAAATAGAAACAGGATACTAAAGAATTAGAAGGGCAAGGCCAGCATCTGAAGTCTGAATTAAACCCAATGAGCATTGGAATATATATATTATTCCTCCTGAAAACATTTCATTTGTTATTTTGTCCATCTCAGAGCAAATTCTGAACATGCCGACCAACTCACATTTTGAATTTGGGGTTGCATTTGGAAATAACACTTGGAAATGAATTTTTGGACAGGCACAGGATGATGATGGCCAAAAGACAGAGCCTGTTTTCAAACGGATACATTTCAAATGGGATCCTTTCCAAACCATTTCTCTTCTGTTGTCATTTGCTTTATTCTTATGTGTTTCAAGATTTCATCTTACTATTAATCACAAAAAAAGTCAAGTTTATTTCAGTGACAGAATGTTCTTAGCATATTTCATATTCATTATCAGGTCTATCTTTGCCATTGTTTTATTTGGAAGATTTTATTTTGGTAACATGTTGAATTTGAAGATTATTTTTAGGGCAGAGAGACTTCTTTGCATTGAAGTCTTGGAGAACATGCTGAAAGGGAGGCTTCTGAAAAATGGGTTGCATTGGAGAAAAGGGAGGATCTATATTTGTAACAGATTTTGGAAAGACATTCAAGTCAGTGTGTTAATGAAGACCAAATGAGTAGTATCCTTTTAAGATGTTCAAAGTATTATATTGAGAAATTGTATGACTTTGCTCACTTTGAACAATGTCAGAAATAGAATAAAGAAATCCTATTTCTGGAAAGGTAGACCTAAACACTGGGTCCTAATTCCACTGTGTTCTTAACTGGCTGTGTGATGTTGGGTAAATTACTTGATCTCCCTGTAACTCGGTGTCTTCTTTAAAGTGAAGAGTGTGGGTCTTGACTCAATTTAGACCCAGTGCTCTGATTCCCTGTGGTGAAGCCTGCCAGTCTCCATCTGTGTGGAAGACAGAGAATAATACATTCGGGCTGAAAGAATTGAATATGAAAATGGAAGAAGGAAACAGAGCAGGGTTGAAATCACAGAAGCTCTTCTCTGCTAAGTTAAGGCATTTGATCATTATCCTGAAACTAGGGGGTCCAATTAAAGGAATGTTTGCAGCCAGGTAACTGCCAGATTAAGGTATTAGATATTCATTCACTCTAGATTGTGTGAGACGGTGCAACTGAAAGCTGAGAGATTAGATTAGAGGCCTGGAGAATTGATGAGAATCTGATGAAGGCAAAAGTAAAGGAGGTAAAATAAACAGGGTCTTGTTAAGTGGGTGAATTGTGGTGGAGAGAAGATTCTAGGATAACTTCTGAGTTTCTGTCTTTGCTGTATGGTTGATGATGGTCCCAGTGTCTGAGAATAAATGTCCTGAGAGGCAGTACAAAGATTCCCATTTGGTGGTTCCTCTGTGGAGGGCTAGAAAAAGTATGTCAATTACTGACCCTAGTGGGACTGAGTAAAACATGAAGGATATTGTTCCTTATCTTACTTGTCCCATTAATGAGTATGAGCCCCACTGAAAGCCCAATAGCAGAATTCCTTAAAGTAAATAATATTCAATCAGTAATAGCACTTCTAATTTTTCTTATACTATATTTTTGTTTTATGCCCTGCTTTCATGTAAAACTAGGCATAGTTTTTCATAGAAAATCTTCCTCCCCTTTTTTTTTGGAATCTGTCAAAAAGCTCAGACTTTTGCTTTATTTTTTTTCCCTTTTCTCTCTTCAGTATGGAAGGATTAATGAATGCAAACTGGGTAACACAAGGGAATTAATTGAAAGAGCCATGATCAAGTTAGGCTATCGGATTAGCACACATCTACCTAAGTGTAATGGTTTATACTTTTATAATTCCATAAAATGGTAACCAAAGTTCATTATATTGTCCCCCAAGCACAGCAAAATCCTAGTGACCAAATGCATTCAGTCTGTCTGCTGTAGTTGATGCTAGACTTTCCAGGAACTGATTTCCCTTTGGGGTTCTCAAACTCCTCCAGAAACAATCACACTGAAATTTGTTTCAATTTGTGTTTTAAATGTATCACCTCCAACATCTCCCATTCACATCGGAAATTCTGAATCTTTACAAGGGAGGTAGAACAATATTAATAAATCAGACTTTTTGCTTAGTCATGAAAGGGCACCTCTGAGCCACACGCTATGAGCAGCAGTGAAGTTTCCACAGCAAGAGGAAACACACACCTATTATATCTAGGTGACTATGTTGGAGCTTTGTGTCAGGCAAGGTCGGGGAACTTGTTATGGACCTATTCCACGAAGTGCCTTGAAGATGGGAAACTTGAAGAGTAAATTGCTTTTAGGAAAACATGGTGTATTGTTAGGCAGAATTTTAAGGGCTGCAAGTAAAGAGACTTCCCTCTTTTCATCTCAGCATGCCAGCCTCAGATTCCCTTAAGAAAAAAGTGAGAAAGAAGAGAATAAAAGAAAAGAAAATGTGACCAAACTCAAACCCAGGAGACAGGGAAATTTGTCTGGTGTGTATTAAAGGGTGGCTTCAACTCAGGCTGCTGAACAGGGAACCATGTGACTTGTCTTTTTGTGAAATGTTCCTCAGGCAGCCTGAGGGACATTCCTGAGGCGACCAGAAACCCTCCTGTCTCTCTGGAGAGTTCTGTCTCCTAATGCCCTCTATTGTGGAGGCGAGAATGGAAATGTGTGGTCTCTGGGGAATGCGGGAGGGAATGGCTGGGATGCCCAAGTCCTGGAGCCACCTTACTCTGGGATGCCCGGAGGCACAGTGACAGCTGTGGCAAGGTCTGTCTGGAGGGACAGGGAGAGAGGACACGACCTCCCCAGCAGTGGCTTCTCTTCCTTCCCTCTCTCTACTCATCTGTTGTTGTAAACTCAACTGCCTCAAAGCCAATTTTCAGACAGCTAGATCATACTTTTTTCTCCCTTTCCATTACCTAGCATGAAAAAAAGTTTTAAAGACTGTGACCAACAAAACACATTCAATAAATGTTTATTGAACCAACAAATGAATGAGCTGATACATGAGAATGCTTAGGAAGCACTCCGGAAGCTTGTGAGAAAAGCAAGAATTGCAGCCCCCTTCCTGGAGTTGTTGATCCAGGAGGTGGGCGGTGGCCCCAAGAATTTGCATTTTCACAAGCTCTGCCAGCCATTCTGATGCCCAGAGCTCTTGGAAGGACCCCATATTGAGAAGAGCTGGAGGGAAACTGGATGCAGTGGCCTCTGTTACACCGGCATCTGGGCAGAACAGATTTTGTGTGAGTCGACAGTGGGAGCAAAAGGTTTTAAGTAAACAGTTCACAGGTTTTCAAAATTCAATCAGGAAAGATCATTTACAGAGAGCAGTAAATTGAGTTCAGCTGCCTGGCTTTGGGTTGTAGAGGATATAAAAATATAATCTGAAGAAATGTTTCTCCCTATTCTCTTTATTTTCTGTTTATTGATATGATCATTCTGTGTAATTTACATCATGAAATTTTTCAGTCCTATGTCAAATTTCAGAGCTTTTTTACTCCATTGAGCTTATATGGGGAAATGGTGGTGAACTAGAGCTTCCAAATAAATGTAGTATCCATGGTTAAGGTTCTGGAATATCATGCATAAGCCCCTGTGTTCCCCTAGCATGGCCCTTGGGATTGCAGTGGTCACTCAGGCACTTGTCCCTTAGATTCCAGTGGCATGTGATAACACCAAGTGGACGTGGCCAGTTCACTTGGAATTACGGCTGAAGCAGCTATAATTCATGGGCATGATGCCACCCTCCCCACATCCCCTCCTCCCTGCAGCCTTCAGAAACTCACCAGAGAGTCTGGACAGAGAGGAGGAAGAAAAGAACATCTAGGGCTTTCATTTGGAAAAGCATATTTTTACTTTTATACTTTTAAATTTCAAAAATTGATGTTTAGTATTAAATATTAGATATGGAAGAACAGAGTGGACAAAGTTTTCTCAGCTCTTGAGTATATGGCAAAGATACAGCACTACAACTGCTGGGGTGGGATGGGTAGGGTCTAACAAAATCTCTAGGAGGGGGACACTCATCACACATAAAATTTGTGTTGACCAGCCTTTAGGAATTCTGTCCCAACCAATTGTCTCTGCTCTACTTCATTTTCAGAGGCACATGCATAGGAATTGCAGTTTAGGGATAGCATTGATCAGTTGTGTTTCTTTTCCCCCAAATAATACATAGATAGATAGATAGATCAGTGAGAAAGAAGAAAAGAAGGAAGGAAGGAACTTATTGTGTATAAATCCATTAATAGCACCTTTTTATATATTGAATTGCCTTACACGAAGGGAGATTTATCCAACACAATGAGCCTTTGGAGGAGTGTTTCTCAAAATGTAGTCCAAGGCTGCTTGTGATAGAATTAGATTCTGGGGATTTGACCCAGAGCTACTAAGTTAAACCCTTGGGAGGACCTTGCAAATCTAAATTTAACAAACAACTCAGATGACTCTTATACCCAGCAACATTTGAGAATCTCCCCTTCTAACGTGTGACACTTTAGTAAAGTGAATTGGTGCATTAAAGTTTTGCCTCTGGCATGACCACACTTCAGTATCTGATTTTTATTGTTAAAAATTGAGCACCTAGCATCTCTCTATAAATTTATATAGGCTCATAATGTATCCTCATCTTGAAAGTTGTCATGCTCTCAGAGCATTGAATGACTTTTACAATTGTTTCTTAAGGGATTATGCAGGAAATCTAATTTAGATGCCAGAAGTGTGTAGTCTGAAGGTAGTATCCTAGACTACAAGATGGCATATGAACCTCATTTTTGTTTACTTTAGGAGACTATACACTTTCATGGTCAGAGGCAGAAAAACTTTGAGACAGAGAAAAAAAAATCCTAAGTCTAACTTCTGCTTTAATCATATGGCCTAAGCAATCTCCCCTCAAATCTGCTCCTTTTCCTTTAAACTTTCTTCCAACTGCTAGAATTACCCATTCACCAAATTGCCCAAACTGGAAAACCTGGGTTTTTGCCTTTTGCCTTGTTTTCTCTCATTCTTACATAATTAGCCAATCAGTGCCAGATTTGCTCATAAATATATCTTTGATCCACCCCCTTCTGTCTATTCCTAGTTCCCAAAATCAGTCTCTCTTTTTCTTGGGCCCAAAATACTACAGCTGCCTCCAGTCTTGTCTACTTCAAATCAATCCTTCCCACAGCCACCAGAATGGTCCATTTAAAATGCAAGTAAGGCCAGGATGCTGCGCGTTCTACATTCATCCGTGGTTCCTGTCTTCTGCGGAATAAAATCTAAGCTCTTGGGCATGGAATGAGACTGTCAATGTCCTGCCTCTGACTACTTCTCTGCCTTCAAAGCCCATTTTTCTCTTCCTCAAATTGTGGAATTCCTTATGGCTGGGCTTTTTGCACAAATGATTTCCACTTCCTGGAGAACATGAATCACACCTTCTCCTATCTAACTCCTGCCTGTCTTTTCATACTCAGCTCAGGTGAGTAGGATGAGTTCAGGAAAAATGTCCCTGAATCCTCAAAGCCATCTGAGGCTCTTTTCTTCTGCATGTCCATAAAAATCAGTGAGTATTTCTATCTTTGCTTTTAGCATATTGTGGTATTATTAGCTCTTCCAACTCATTTTGAAGACCTTTCTGTAGTTAGGAATCATATCTTATTCACTTTGGTGTATGCAGCATATAACAGAGAGCCTAGGATATCCTGGTGCTAAATGGATTATACTTGTATAGGTAAACGTTGGAGAAATGAGTAATTATGCTCTTGATTCAGTGTTGTGAAGTTGCTACTTAGAAACAAATGGTATTACAGGGTCTTGGCATTCTTGTATAATTAAAGAATACCTTAAGTTTGAGGTGATTCCCTTCATATGTTCCCCAAATTGGAGGATTAATTAGGGAGTTGAACCAATAATTAGTACTCAGTGAAAGTGATACAGAATAAAATATATACTCAAGGAAGAAACTAAGTAGGTAGAACTAAATGTCTGCTTTGATAATATTCACTGAAAGAGAAAGAGATGAAAATTACTTCACCTACTGATTGTGTTGGAGAAAAGGTATTTCTTAATTTGGTGATCTAATAGTCTTTAATATATTTTCTTTAATAATATTGTTGGCTAGGTTACACTGTGAAATAGAGAAAATACCATTAGAAGAAAAACTACATTGTTAAACTTGTTTGGGCCATCCTTGTTTTATTGTTTAAATTTACCTTTGGCAAATTTCTAGAGTTCACTATGTAGACACCATCCGATTGACATGTTTCGGTGTTTCTATTTAAAGGTAAATGTGACTTAGGATTTATTTTCTGTTAGCATTAGATTATTTTACTAATGGATCAAAGTCACATAGAATTCTTAGTTTATCAGGTTCCTACAGGGAAATAAATAGATCAAAGTCAAAATGACTTTCTTGTGGACGAATCATTAGAAAATTATCCTACTGCTTGTTGGTTAAGGTCAATAATACATGTGGCTGGAAAGAGGGTAAATAATTATTTGTTGACATCATATCTGTGATTATCCATCTCCTTGCTAGAAGAAAATTTTACAAAGAATGAGGCTTCCATAAGAAATATTTGCTCTGAATTGCTAGTCCACATCTAAATGATGGCTAGAATATTTAAGGTCTGGCAGATTAATTTACAGAGTTGTCGAATGCTTTTGGCTAGCCTAATGAAATTCCATCAAAACAGGGTTTCTCATCCTCAGCACTACTGACATTTGGGTCTAGATAAATCTCTGTTGTAAGGGCTGTGTGTCCTGTGCATCATAACACATTTAGGAATATCTTTGGTTTCTATCCACCAGACACCAGGAGCACTCACCCATCTCTCATTGTGACAACCAAAAATGTCTCCAGACATTGCCAAATATCCTTTGGAGTGGAAGCAAAATCACCCCCAGTTGACAACCACTGCTTTAAACATCTCCCTTGAAGATAGATATTTTAAAGGGTAAATAGGTAATTGATTTTGCTGGAATCCCAAGACATACTTACCAGAGATATGAAAGGAATGCTTTAATTTTAGACATGTTCTTTTTCATTTTACAAAATATTGAAATTTAGCTTACATTTGGGAAATTAGCTGGTCGAGCTCTATTCACTAAACATAGAAAGACTAAAGAATTATTTTCTCATCTTATTGTCAATCATCTCTTATAAGAAAGTTAAATGTGGCTAATTTGCCTGAAAGTGTTTGAATGTTCCATATATGTTGCTTTGTGAATTAAAAGTAGAGCATATTTTTTAGTCTGATTGATGGTATCAAGTGAAATATTTAATTTTTACCATTTTGTTCTACAATAGCTTCTACTTAGAACTGCTTAAGAAAAATCAATATAAAATTCATTTCAATGAATAAATGAAGGAAATATTTAACTTAATCAAGATGGATTTTTTGGTATGACATTAGCTTACATGACCAACCAAAGATTTTGAGATGACTCCGGTAATTTGTACAAGGAGGCTATATATTTTAAAGGTGAATATAACTAAAGCTAATCATTAATTTCAGCATGCTCAGATGAGTAGAAAAACTAGATTTTAGCCCTTACTTAATTCTGCATCAATTAATATCCCATTTGAGTTACCTAGAATAAATAATTTTATCTTTCAATGTTTCAGTTTTCTTATTTGCAAAATGAGAGGATTAAGTCAGATCAGAGTAGGCAAACTTTTTCTATAAAAGGGCAGATCATAAATATTTTATGCTTTCTGGGTCATGCAGTCCCTATTGCAATGGTTAATATGCATTTTATGGTAGCATGGAAGCAGTCATAGTCAATACATAACACATAAGAATAGCTGTGTTCTAATAAAACCTATTTAGAACACTGAAATTTGAATTTCATATGATTGTCATGTCATAAAATATTCTTAGTTTCATTGTTTTCAACCATTTTAAATTTAAAAACTATTTTTAGCTAAACAGTTGTACATGACAGAGGGCAAAGTGGTACTTGGCCTGTGAACCACATTTTGCTAACCCTGAGAAGATTGCTAAGGTCCCTTCCAGGGGACCTTAACATTCTTGAATTTACATTCTAACATTCTTGAATTTACATAGGAATGATGGAAAAGCTATTGTGTGCCCCAGTTTATCTGAAAACTGCTTCAATATCTGAAGGAAGCTGAAAGTAAATCAATTGTTAATTTTAATGATGTCATATGTTCCTTGTAGAGAGTATGGGCTGGGCCTGCTATCTTATGATGGGTAGGAGAATACTTGTTCTGTCTCTCTAAAAAATTGAATGTAGTCTCACTTCTTAAAAAGATGTCATTATTCATAAAATATATTGAAATGTACAGGGACTGAAAGTGAAATATTAAAAACTTAACATTTGAAAAGTCCTTTTCAATTTAAAGGGTACTTTGCTTTACATCAAATGAAATGAACTTCATGGCAATCCTGTGAATAAGTGTGGTAGGTACAGTTACTTTTATTTTTAGCTGAAAAAGTTGTGGCCCCAATAGGTTAAGCCACAGATAAGAGGCCTTTTCTGAATTCAAACTCAGAATGCCTTCCCTGCACTCCTCTGCATCTTGGATCTGCCTCCAATACTCTCTCTCTCTTTTCATCTGAGACCCAGCTATATAGAGTTATCTCATGCTTTGATAATAGAAACAGGTATATTCTGTTTGGATACTTGACTGCAAAAAGAATTAAAGGTATATTTTCAAAATGATCATTGACAAGATTCAAAACTTCTCTGAGTCTTAGTTATGATTTGAAATATTAAAAATGCTGCTTTATATTATTCAGAAATTACTATGTCTGGTGTTGGCATAGACTATAGTCAGTATTCAGTAAATATGCATTACTTTCCTTTCAGTGTAATAAAACATAAATGATACAATGTAAAGTAACAGAATTCAAGATGTCTCTCGTAATAATTTGGACTTAGATAATGCATGTTATGTACAGCTGCTTTCACTTTGGAGTTTACCGTAGTTGTATGAGTTAGGGTTCTCTAGAAAACAAAATCAATAGGATATATGTGCATATTGAAAGAGATTTATTTTAAGGAATTGGCTTATGCAGTTGAGGAGACTTGATAACTCCAAAAACCGATAGGGACGCCAACAGGTTGGAGACTTAGGAAAGAGTTGCAGCTCAAGTCTGAAGAACCTGGAAGAGCTGATGTTGCAAATGAAGTCTGAAGGCAGTCTGCTGGAAAATTCCTTCTTCCTTAGGGGAGGTCAGCCTTTGGTTCTAGTCATGCCATCAACTGATTAGATGAGGCCCACCCACATTTATGGCAAGCGATCAACTTTACTGAAAGTCTGCTGATTTAAATGTAAACTTCATCCAAAGCAAAACCCTCACAGAAACATCTAGAATGTTTGACCAAATATTGGGGCACCATGGCCCAGATAACTTGACTTATGAAATTAACCATCAGATGGGTCATTGGTAATCAACTCATGCTAACTTAAATAAAAATTTTCCTCTAAAATTAATCTCTAGATTATACAATAAATGGATGGACGTGTAGCCAGACAAACCCAAAATTCTCTGCTGTGGGGCCCTAGAGTCTCATTTCTGCTTCTTTTGGCCCATCTACTCTATACTTTTCTCTGTAGACCAGCTTCCCCTGTTACATTGTATTCTGTTAACACTGGTGTAGAGCCCAGTTATTTATAATCTTGCAGTTGCATCCCTTACATTTCCCTTCTCCTAAGAAATCTCATTAACCCTGGTTTGGTAAGATGTCCACCCTTATTTACTTAGCTCTGGTCAAGGAAATTGAATCACCAGGTATTAAAATGGCCTCCTAGATCCCATTCACCTAGCAGGTCATGTGGGCAAGAGCACATTCTCTTAGCAAGAACATAGGCACAGTGCTTCATTAACTTAATTAGCGTGAATTCCCTGTACACATAACAAATAGCTTAATGGTTCTGCAATCCACCCAGAACCAGAAGGCACTGCAAGGAATCCAAAACTACGATTCCATTCTGCAAGTGAAGATAAACAATTATCCTATGCCTTTTGCTAATATAGAACAGTAGGAAATGGACTCCAACTACAGAACTTGCTTTTAGGTGTATCGTAGAGACACTACGTGTGATCAAGAGGATTGAAGAGCCTGGGAAAAGTAGTAGACTCTCCTCCATGGGAGGAACACATTGAAACTATGAAGAAATGCTTTCAGAATCCCACCCTGAGAGGACATTGGGTTCCAATGTCCCCTTAAATGCCTCCTTTACTCACTTCCATTATTCATGGTTTCAGCACTGCTGAAAGGTCCCACTAAGCTCTTAATGGGCTTTGTTAATTCTTCTGGGTGGCTGAAATTGCACCATTCCCAAATGTATATCCCTGAAAAAAGAAAGCAAAATAGCACATTGTTTAAAAATAATGTGATAGTAAACTGAATATGGGTAAGAAAATTTTTATGATTTTTAAAAATTAACCATATTTAAAGGAGTTCAGTATGGGAAATTAGTAATGTAATGTTTGAATCAGAATATTC